TAATAATTTAGATTTTATATAGAATCTTGTAGTGCGTCTAATAATTTGGCCTAATTAATATAATATACTAATATAATACCTGATATAATAAATATTCTATATTTATATAGAATATTGTCTAATTTATCCAATCGTCAATTATATATCGCCTAATTTAACCAACTGATACACGAACGTAAACAAGGGCAAACCGGTTTCAGTCGCGTGAAAACAATAAATCTGTATAGTATCACCTAATAATTTAGATTTTATATAGAATCTTGTAGTGCGTCTAATAATTTGGCCTAATTAATATAATATACTAATATAATACCTGATATAATAAATATTCTATATTTATATAGAATATTGTCTAATTTATCCAATCGTCAATTATATATCGCCTAATTTAACCAACTGATACACGAACGTAAACAAGGGCAAACCGGTTTCAGTCGCGTGAAAACAATAAATCTGTATAGTATCACCTAATAATTTAGATTTTATATAGAATCTTGTAGTGCGTCTAATAATTTGGCCTAATTAATATAATATACTAATATAATACCTGATATAATAAATATTCTATATTTATATAGAATATTGTCTAATTTATCCAATCGTCAATTATATATCGCCTAATTTAACCAACTGATACACGAACGTAAACAAGTGCAAACCGGTTTCAGTCTCGTAAGTTGTATAGTATCACCTGATAATTACGATATTACATGGACTCTTATAATGAGTCTAATAATTTGACCAGGAGCTGTATATAGTTATATTTATTGACTAGGCTTCACAAAAAATGTTTCTCTGCATAAAGCAGATTTTTTTTTTTCATCACGAAAGTTGAAATATAGGCTTAAAATGCAGATATTAAAAAGAATGCTATTTGCTTACGCATGTGTTCTTCAATATTAGTATTATTATTAATAATTTTATTAATGAAGGTGATTTAATACTAATACATAATAAATCATTGTATTCCCCTTATTCCTCCTTCTGGTAGTTTCAACTATATTTTGACAATGATTTACAAGATGGAATCAAGTTAACAAATGTTACATTCCAGCAAAATGGTATTTAATACTTTTAGTGGTAGATACCCCACACATTACTTCCAGAATTTTATTTGTGACAGAATTCGATTTCCTCCCACTAGTTCAGTGTTTCCCAAAGTGTGGTACGCGTACCCCCAGGGGTACGAGGACAGTTTAGCGGGGGCACGCGTTCTTATGCGAAATATCTTGCAACAAACGAAAATTTTATTTAAAAACAAAGCTAGCCATGAAAATTTACAATTGCGT